AGTACAATTAAAAAAAAAAAAAAAAAAAAAAAAGAAGAATCCATGAGATAAATGAAGTCCTCACTCTAGAAGAAGCCAGAAGATGTGACTAGGAGACAGCTGTGCTATGGTTAGGGAAATGAGAGATCACAGTCAACAACTGGTTATAGAGGGAAAGGGAAGAACTGATGACTTCCAGATTTCTGGCTTGGATGTCCAAATGGATGATGGTGGTACTCAACCAGGGCAAGGAACACAGGAACAGGAGCAGATTCAGATTCAGAGGAAGGACAATGAGTTCTGTGTCAGATGTGCTAGCCATGAGGTTGCCTCTAGGCACTGACATAAAGCTGCAGGGATAGAGCACAGTCAGCACCCCATGTCTGTGAGTTCCACGTCCATGGATTGAATATCGTGATCAAAAATATTTCTTAAAAGTTGCAGTCACACTGAACATGTACAGTCTTTTTTCTTGTCATTATTCCCCAAACAATACAGTATAACAATTATTTATTTAACATTTACATTGTATTGCATATTTTAAGTAATGTGGAAATGATTTACACTATACAAGGGGATAAGCCTAAGTTTTATGCAAATGCTATGCCATTTTAAAGGAATATGAGCACCTGCATATTTAGGGATCTGCAGGAGTCCTACATCAATCCATTGGAATAGAATGTGCTACACTGGCTATGCAGTGCACAACCAAGGATGGACAATCACAGTGGCTGCAATGTGAATGACAGTTCCCAGAGTTAGGCAGTGTGGGAGCCCTGTATGGAATAGGATGGAGATTCTTACTACTTATTTCAGTAATCATTAGCAGAATTGGATCTGCTGGAAAAGAGGGAGGGATAAGATCACCTATTAAAAGGAGTATGTAAAGAGGTCTTATCCTGAGGACCACACACCCATACTTTACACAATATTTTTAGCATAAATGCACATGTGTATTGTTTTAGAAAGGGGATCTTTAGTTTTCAGTATGTATTCAGAGGGGATCATAACCCTAATAAAATGAAGTGAGGAGAGAGTTAAAGCCATAACCACTAACATAAAAAGGGGAAGAGAAGTCAGCAAAAAAGGCAGGGTCAGAACAGCAGCATCACAAAAATTTTGAGAAGTAAGCAATCAGTTACAGGCCAAAGAAAGACCAGGACTGCCCTGAGTTTAGCAATCTGGAGGTTACTATGTCATTTGCTTGAACAATTCCGGTGGAAACTGGAAAAGGGGGGCTGGGGATTTAGCTCAGCGGCAAAAGCGCCTGCCTGGCAAGCGCAAGGTCGTGAGTTCGGTTCCTGGTACCAGAGAAAAACCAAAAACCAAAAAAAAAAAAAAGAAACTGGAAAAGGTCTCAATCACACTGGCCTGAAAAACAAAAGATAAGAGAGTAGAAAGGGCAGATTTAGGGAAAACGTACAATATCAGAATGGAGAGATAGGTTGCAGCTACGTTGCTGAAAGGAAATTTCAGTTTTATTCAGTATACTCTGTACATACGAGTAAACTAAATGTAAGTTTTAGTTAGGCCAACTAGGGAGGATAAAATAAGCACATCTCTACAGTAAGGAACAGTGCTTCACTGACTTCAGATTCACCACTGTGATCCCATGGTCCGTTTGTATTTTCTCTCACAAGTTCCTTTAGGATTTGTTTGCAGACCCAGTTGATAATAGGCCTGGAGTGATGCGGATTATTTAAAGCAAGTCAGCAGGTAAATACGGTCGGACCTCAAAAACTGTTTCTTAAATATGGATACTGCACACAAAGAACACTGACTGCACTTTTTTGAAAGATCTGCCATCTATTCTGCTTTATGCTTACAAGGTATGAAAGTAGCATTTTCCTCTACCCTTTCTAGGTTCAGAAACAAAACAGGAAAATGAAGCTTGACGCAGTGGACAGCAGATGAACACAGTTCCATTACCTTTTCACTACTCCCTTACCCAAGGTATCAGAGACTACAAGATAAAGTTTTGAGTGTTTCCTCCGTGCCAGAGATACATCTTGGGAACCACCGGGCCGACAGTGAGAGGTCCAGGAATTCAAATGTAATCTCCAAAAGGCACAGGAAGAGTAAATTAATCAAAGCAAACTGACAGCAGGGTGACGACCCTGTGCCCTTCATCGGTCCCAGCGGCGTGCAAGGACGGAGAAGGGGCGCGACAGCCCCTTCCCGGGCAGGGACTTGAGGCACAGGGAAAAAACCGGTGTGAGTAAGCAAAGGGTGAAGTTTCCGATCACCTTCCTACCAGCCCTTCTTTAACCGAAATCTGTCTTTAAAATGCTGTTTTGCTCTATGTTTTAAGCGAGCAGAACCTCTTGCGACTGCACCCCTCAGTGCCGCGGAGAGGAAGACGCCTGGGTCCTCCGGCACCACAACCGGCTCCCGCGCACCTGGGCGGACGCCCAGGCCTGAAGCGGCCGAGAGCCGGGCTCAGGAACTTTAAACCCGTCCACCTCTCCGGCCGCGGATGCGGGGCGCCGCCACCCACCGTGTCGGCTCTCCTGTAAATCCCAGCTCCTCACTCACGTCCGCTCGCCGAGTCGCCCCTGGGACCACAGCAAACCCAGCTGCTACCTTGGCAGCCACCTGACAGTTTCAAACTGAGGGGAACACGCAAAGACAGCCCTGTGCATTGGCTGCCCGCCTCAGCAATCTGCCATCTGATTGGCTGCGGGACAGGGGCGGGGCTTTGGACCGCCGCGGAATAGCTGGAATTAGATTTAAGAGAGCCCTGCCCTCTAATTCCCCTGGCGTCAAGGGGCGGGGTCACGGAGCCTCGCCAAACTACCGCGAGAGGCGGGAAGAGGCGGGCTGAGTACTGCGCATGTTAGGTTTTGTTCTGCGGCTACGGACTCCGGGGTGGCTTTGGAGTCAGATTTGTTGAGATGCTGCTGAGTACCCCGCATGTCGGTCCAGGCCGTGTTCTGTGGCGTTGAACCATTGCCACAGGGTAGGCGTGAGTCCTCATGCCTTAGTCATTTGCATCCATAGACACCCTGCAGCAGGATTATTTTTTAAAAGTACAGATTTCAGCCGAGGATGGTGGTGCACACCTGTAATCCCAGAACTGGTCAGTTTAGTGACTTAACAAAGAGACCCCGTCTCAAAAAGGGGACGGGGTTGGGGTGGGGGGAGCCGGGCGTCGTGGCGCACGCCTGTAATCCCCGCACTCGGGAGGCTGAGGCAGGAGGATCGTTGTGAGACCATCCTGGGCTATAAATGAACTTAAGGCCAGCCTGAACTGCATAACGAGACCCTGTCTCAAAAAGACAAAAAAACAAACAAACAACAAAAAAAAAACAACCGGGTCGGAACGGGGGAAGACTGGAGATGCAGCTCAAAGCGAAGGCCCTGCTTCAGTCTACAGTACTGGAAAAGAATAGTACCGATTTCTGACCCCCTTGTAGATTTCTTCGGTTTTTATTTTAATTTAATTTAGTGCCGCACTAGGGGATTGAACTCAGGGTCTTTGCGCTGAGCTACATCCCCAACTCTTTAAAATTTTATTTTTTTTTTTTGAGATAGGACTCGCTAAATTTTCCAGGCTGGGCTCGAAATTGCAATCCTGCGTCAGTCTGCTGGAGTGTTGGGAGTATACTCTGTACATACGAGTAAACTAAATGTAAGTTTCCCACCATCCCGGGCTGGGAATCTGAATTTTTAACAAGTAATGCCAGTTTTCC